TGCTACTCGAGCTTGCTTCACAGGTCACCCGCGTCGTATCCGGTGACATTCGCGCGGGTCGGGACCGTCCAAGGCGGCATTCGATAGGAGCTGAGGGTGTGCTGGAAGTGGTTTTATGACAGCCCTGTTGGCCACGACTTGTTTCAGCGCAAATCCGCGAGCGTTTGGTCCCCCACGCTGGACAAGACCGCGACGCCTACGACAGCGCCGGTGAATGGTTCGCTTGATGCACTACTGCAGGTGGCCCAAATGAGGCGGGAGATGCATAACGAAATGAAGGCTGGCATTGGCGCTGGCCGCTGGCGATGCGCGCGACGGAGAGGGGTGGAAGGGAGCAGAGGACGGATCATGGGTCTCATCACTTGACCGTCAGGACCCGAAGACACCTCGCGCTCTGATTCTCGCCGATGACTTGGCGACCGAGTTGCTCCGAAATGAGCCCCGGAGTCTCCTGTCACTGAGGGACCGACAGTCGGCCCCAGAAATTAATATGCCCTCTTCTGACTTTTTGCCGACGGCGCTGGAGCCGCCGGTGGACACACGCACACGCCTTTATCAACCAGGGCCAGGCGATATGAATAATAATCGAGGGTCAGGGCGGAAACTGTTCAACACTCTCCTGGAATCGTTTCGCGCCCGTCGATTCCGCGTCCAAGACAGCGGTGCCTCGCTCGAGCCTCGGTGTTTCTAGCGCCGTCTTTCCACCGTTGCTCCTTGCGAGCCTTGGCTTGCACCACTAATACTGGTTCACATTGATGATTCTGGTGTCCCTAGCAGATGCGACTTGGCCCCCCAAATTTGAACCCCCAACTCCGTGGTTACGACTTGTTGAGATGGCGCCGCCGAAACTCAAATTTTCCCCAGCTGGAAGCTCTAAGCGGATTGGACATTCGACATCGACATGCATATCTGCAAGTTGATTGTTGCATGGGGAGACTGCCATCTGGAACAGCAAAGGCAACTGCAAGTACAGGTCTGGCCTTGGCCAAAAAATCGCAGATCAGGACGCCTTTTGGGCCAGGCAAGAGCTCTTGGTCTCGTAAAGCCTCAGCCAAGACGCGCGAGCTATGCCTCCTCGTTGCTGATGCGGCATGCCACACTGAATGAAGCACGGCGACAAATCAGAGACGGGCCTTTTGATGAGATATGAGGGGTTGCAGCAGCTTGCCTCGCATCGAGATATGCGGCAGAGAACCACACGGGATGGCGACGGATACCGATATTCCTGATGAGGTGAAGGATTCTATGACGGGGTACCCTTGACATCAACGATGCTACCAGTATTGGTACAAGTCAAACAGCCAAAGACAGCAGCATTTGATAACATTTAAGGTGGGGGAACAGTTTCCAATTTTTTCGTGTTGCCATTCCATTCACTAGGTTTCTCGGTGTCCCAATAGGAAACATTTTGTGTGGAATGAGATGGGATTTGTGGGCGAATGTGGCTGGCTGTTGCCGATTGTCAGTGGGCGGGCATGCGGACGAACACTGGGTTCGGCGTTCGGAGAAGAAGCTGTCAAAACGGCGTCTTTATCCAATCGAAGGCTCTCCGTTGCCAATCCACCACCACATCATCGTCTCCACGATCACTTCCAGCACCAGCCTCTTTTCCGAGCTTGTCTCCTCTTCCCGCCGCTCACTTCGCCGTCCCTCCGTCCGCTCAAGCGCCCCCCTCGGGCGGCTTCTCCACGCCTTAAAGACGGATTTGCCGCCAAGCCAAGTGGCGGTGAGCTACTGCGTAGCAATGGCCCGTCAAGCCCTGGAAGCGTCCGCCTGCATCTGATCCTCGCACTCGCTCGCCCGGCGGCGCGCCCCTCTTTTCGTTTCCTTCCAATCCCCGTCCTGGAAGCCGCCTTCCGCCTTTGCTCACCGGAGTCTCCCAGAGCGGGCGGGCCCTTGGGGCCTTGAACAACTGTTACCGGCCTTGCGGTGCCAGCGAAAGGGTGCCAGACGTGCCGTGCTGTGCTGTACAGTATGCTGCTGGTAAAAGGGGTTGGGAATCTCGCTTCGATGCTTGCTGCATCTCGCTGTAGGACATGCGAACACCGGACGCAATGATGCTCAGCCGCTACCCCCGGCTTCAAACCCTTGAGAGCTCATGCGACTGCCTTCTGTTTTCGAAGAGCTGTTTGTCGAGCCGCCTCTCACCGCAGCTTTCCGTGCCGCAGCAGCATGGCTCCTGGCTGGCCATTTCATACAACGCTGCTGCTTGATGTCCTGGTCACACCGCAGACGGGCAGCTGCGCCGGGTCTTTCCAGGAATACGCGGGTGAGCTCTCACCACACCCCTCAATATGGCAAAAGTCTGGGGTTCGCGGGGTGAGAGGGCTGAATGGAGAGCCCTATCACGATGCTCCTTTGTCCCGACACAATCACACCCAAGGAACTCTATTCGTTGTTGCGAGGGAATAGTCCATTCTCCCTGACAGCACCAGAAAATCCCTCACATTCTATGCACCATGATGACGAAGGCGAAGATGATGTTGGAGGTGGTGGCTGCCTTTTCACGGCTTAGAAGTACTGCTCATAGGGAGTCCAAGTCACGGATACATCTTTGGACTCTCCCCATCTGCCGTAGAGACTTCTGCGGCTCAACAAGGGATGGTCAGATCAGCCTGTCCAAATGCGCAGGTCGGATTGATTTTTTTTCTCCCTTCAGCCTGGAGCGTCTCCAGAGCGGTCCTTTGATAACAAACTTTTCATTCTGCATACGGCGTCACCAGCCTGGGTGGGGTGATGAAGCCTACGAGCATTCGGAGACAGTACCTTATCTCTGGTGGCAAAGAAACAGTGGCATGCTCAAGATGTCTAGGCCAGATCTTCTAGAACGGTTCTCCTGCGTTTCCCGAGTCGGCGACGTCCGCATATCTAGTACGGTGGACGGCGATCAACCACTCAAAGTAAAGAGACTTGAACATGTGTGAATGGCGGCTTGGCGTTCTGCCAGATGCTACCACACAAGTTGCAAAGGCAAGCCAACCGGCAGCCAGTCAGCAGAGCTGAATGCCCAGAGTCCGAACACACCACCGGACCTTGCCAAGTCTCTCTGCAAGGTAACGCCAGCTTTGTCTGCTCTGATTTTCATCTCCAAATCTTGGCTTCTTCGGGCTCTCCCATTGAACGATAGGCGACGGTCGATCTCGTGTAATCCACGTGTCAAGCTTTTTATCCCCTTTGACGACGGTTTTACTGCTCTCTACGAATACCATCTCAAGGTTGACAAGGCGAATTGCAACAGGACGAACAAGTCAGAACAGGGCAAAAGCAAGGACGAAATCTACGGTTCGCAACTCAGACACCCACCCCGAAGTTCGGACGTGGTGGGCAAATGGGAGAAAGGAGGCGTCTACCTGTGCGGCCCCGGGGAATGCACCCTCCGACACCCGGAGCTCTCTTGCGTCCTGCGCCTTCCCAACACATTCCCGGGGATGGCTTCCCGGTGCCTTTGCTGTGCAGAGCGGTACTCATGTAGACGTGTGTCTCTGCACGTTGCCCAGATGGCATGGCCCGTAGTCCGCGCGGCTATCAAGCTCCCCTACCGTTTGAGGCTGTCTACGGCTCAAGGACTTCATGGGATGAAAAGGAAAAATAGCAATAGCGGCGGGTTAGCATGATGATGATGTTCCTCTTGGCATTGGTTTTGAAAGTGCACCTTCTTCGCACCATTCCGCTCGAGCGTGCTTTTCTTTTCCCGATGCGTTCCTCGCACTTCTTGGCGAAGTCTCTTGGCGGGAAAGGCGAAGGGGGTTGTGCATTTGGCCTGGCCGAGAAGATCTTTCCCACGTTCGAGGACGCGAATTTGATATTGGTGAGACTGAGCCAGACAGACGTACAGAGAGAGTTTCGATGGTTCCTGTCTCGTTTCGTTGGCAATCTAGGCTTGTCAAGGTGATGGACAATCCGTTTCTTTGGGGGCTTGGTATAAGATTTTTGCCAAGAGGGGGCGTGTGCTTTCTTGTCGGAGACAGAGAGAAAAAAAAGACGGTTTTGCGGTGAGAGGGGCGTTCGCGCGGCGTTGACGTGGAAAGCTTGCGTTGCGGGATGGCTGTGTTTTTGGCGATCTTCGTGCGGGCCGTGGCGGGAACGGGGTGGCTGTCAGGACGACTTTGTCTCGTTGGCAAATTTGATTGGAACCATTTGGTTGAGGATCATTGGGGATATCGGTTTGGATGTTGTTGGGATACTGCAGCGATGTGCGCGTCTTGCCAAGTGGACGGAGGTCATTGGGATGGGATTGCGCGTTTTGCAGGGCGGCTTGGGGGGTCTACGCGGCGTTGCTATCTTTGGAAAGATGAGGATGTTTTGCATCTTTGCCTCGAGTGAGGTCTTGAGGGGTTGGATCGATCTCGTCGACTGGCTCCTGATGTGCGAGAAGACGGCAGTGGATGCTTCGAATTGCTCCAGGTTTGAGCCGAGTTGACCTGCAAAATTGCAAGAGCAGTTGGAGATGTCTGAAGTCATGATTCTCGTCACGAAGCTGTGCCAGTCTGGCGGACCAAGTGGTGCAAGACTGGTATTGGGTATCGATGGATAGGCTTCCGGCGCCTGTCCCTCAGCGTACCGTAGTTGAGGTGGAAGGACGCGTTCAGTCGTTCCCCTCTATCCCAAGTTGAAGTCAAGTCCGTTGGATCGCCTGCGTGTGAATGCAAGTGCAGGTTGCTGATCGACTGCGAAATCAGACCTGTTCGCTTGCAAAGGAGTCAGTCTGTCCCATTCGTTGACAATGGTTTACGGCCAAGCAAATCACAAGGCGCAGCTAGGCTTGGGCCAAGTGCAGTGCTCTGTAATGTCATCTCGGGCTCAAAAGTGTTAAAGTCTATTGGACGATTACAAGCAATATGGTACAAGAAAGGGGCCGAAGAGAACCTATGGTCTGACGACACCCGCAGGACTTTCCCCCGGATATGTTTGACAGCTTTCCTCGCCGTCGTGGACCAGCCCGGTGTCAGAAGAGCCCCAAGTCAACGTCAGTTGACGCGGCTCGACAGTTCACGGATGCCCTACTTGGCCTCCTCGACCTCGTCAGTCTTCTTGGTCTGCTCCTTGACGCTTCTCCATTCCGTGCCTAGACAGGCAAGAAGCGTCAGGCAGGCCAGAACGATGGACAGCAGGAAGGTCGACCGGAGCGCCTCGTTGTACGCCTTGAGCACCGCGGTCGCGGCCTCCACGCCGTACTTCTCCGTGACCATGCTCTTGAGCCCGTAGGCACCGTGGTCTATGATGACCTTGGCGTCAACCTGCTGCACCTTGTTCGTGAGTTCCTTCAGCAGCGTGCTTTGGAACAAATTTTGCGCGATTGCGAGCATAATGATGCCGGCCAAAGTCTGGGCGAGGAGAAGGACAGATGTTCCCAGGGCGATGTCCGCTCCTTTGAGGACTGTCTGTACGGCGGATAGCGGCATCTGCATGCCCTGCCCGACGCCGAGGCCAAACATCACGAGCGTGCCGGCCCTGTTTCAATCTGTTAGAGAAATCGCGTGCGTCAGAGGTAAGGGGGAGTCGTAAGAACGCACCAGTATGCCGTCGACGTCTCTAGGCTGTATCTGTAGATCAGTCCGCAAGCAACTGACAGGAGGACCGTACTGGAAACCATCTGGGGCACCCAATATCCGATTTTGGATACCTGAAGAAAGAGATACATCAGCCCACAATGCCACAAAGTCTCGTTCTCGGTTTGCTACTTACCAAAAATCCCGAGGTGATTGAGGAGACCGACACGGAGAGAGACGAAGCAAGGAAGTTGATGCCGGACTGCTCTGCCGTCACGTCCTTGACCGCCTGGAACCAGAAGGAGACGTAGTACACGATAACGAACACCGTGCCGTTCGTTCCCAGCATGAAGAGGGTCCCGCTGGCGACGGATCTCTGGCGCATGAGCCGGACCGGCAGGGTGGCTTCGTCGCCGCGACGGTACTGCACGTAGAGCCACACGATTAACAGGACGCCAAAGAGGCATAGGCAGAGAATAATGCGCCAGTTGCTCCAGGCGTAGACGGTTCCTCCCCACTGCAGAGCCAGCAAGAAGCAGACCATGAGTGGCATCAGGAGAGCGTTTCCGAGGGGGTCCATGCTCTTGAGGAGGGGGCCGATGGCCTTGGTTTCGCCCGTCTTCTTGGGAGGCTTGACGAACAGAATGACCATGACGGCTGTGACGGCGCCGAGGGGGAGATTGATCCAGAAACACCATCGCCAGGAGGCATTGTCGGTAAGGGCACCTGAGTGTATTGTAAGCATATTGGCTAATCGGTCTTATATGGAAGGAAAGCATAGGGGGTTGGAGATTCGTACCTCCAATCGTCGGACCGATGATCTCAGCAATACCAGCCATGCCACCGATCATGCCCGTGTAGATGGGACGCTTCTGGACCGGAAAGCTAAGGGCAATGATGATGAATACTCCCGATAGCATCCCCGCGCAGCCGATACCAGAGATTGCTCTGCCGATGATGAGGGCCAGGGAGTTTGGGGCAGCGCCGCAGACTATCGATCCGAACTCGAAGATGCCGAGCGCGGCGAGGAACACCCAGGTAACTCTGAGCTCGGCGAAAAGCTTGCCGAACATGAGCTGGAAGCAGCACGTGGCCAAGGGGAACGAGGTTCCGTACCAGGCCACGTCACCGAGAGACTTGAACTCGGTCGTGATGGTGGGGATTGCTGTTGCGAGGATTGTACGGTCCTGGGGGTTGCAATGTCAGTTGCTGCTCAGAATGGGGTTGCGAAAGATGGGAAGATTACCAGAGACAGGCAGAAAACCGCCAGCGTGAGACCGGCGACGATGCAGACCAGGCCAAGGCCGGTCGCATACTCGGGCTCGGGATCATCAGAGCCACTTTCCGTGGTGCCGTCCAGCTCCTTGTCAGACTGGTCTTTGGGAATGGCTTCCTTCTCAGGCCGGCGAGAGTCCTTGTCCACGTCTTGGAGCGGGACTTCGCTAGTCTGAACTTGGTGATCCGAAGCCATTTTCGCGAAGCCCTTGTGATGTCAAAGATTGTCAAGTGAAAAAGAAAAGAAAAGAATCACTGTAGAAGGAAAATTATTGCGACGGGGAGGAAGAGAATTCGCAAGCGAACTTTCCTCGACAAACTGACATCTTTCCTATATACTGGTATTACACGAGACATGTCTGCGGCGCCGGGCAGCAAAATGCCTTCCGGGAGTTGGACGTTGGCCGTGTAATTGAACGGCGCGGCTCACTACCTGTCGCGATCGGCCACTGCCTCTCGGAAGGCTTTTTGACTCCCGGGCCCGGGCGTCTCATGCGTTTTGTGTCGCCCCTTCCCACACCCGTCCGACCTCCTCCCGTAACGAGTTCGGTGTGACTCATACGCCGATTGCTTCTTTAACGGATCCCCGCGGCCTGCAATTTCATCCCGGATGCAAAATTAAATCGCTCGACGCCGACGACGACAATTGACTGGGCCCCTGGTCATGCCGGATGTTCCTCACGCAGGTGAGAAAAGGAGAGCTTGCACAAACTGTTCCCGGTCCAAGGCAAAATGTGTCTGGCCTAGTGCAGCAGATGGCTCCGAGCCCCATATCTGTCAAAGGTTCATCTATCTGGAAAACTGAAGAAAAACTTTCTTTCTGGAGATCTGAGCTGACCGCGTTCGCGGCGTAGATGTTCAAGCAACGGTTTGGAGTGCTCGAGGTCAGAGCCGCAGGCCAAGAGGAAGAGAGGAAAGGCGACGTAAGAGGTCTCCGACCGTTTTGCAAGACACGCGAGGCTGATGATTTACAAACCCCTGAAGCCACGCAAAGGTCCTTGAACGCAAGCTGGATGATATCATGCTGCTCTTGAATCGAGAACGCGACCTGTCAGCTCAAAACAGCCAGGCTTCCGACAGTCAACCTTCGCCGTTGGTCGGCCTCGCTTCGCATAGTCAGGGAGAGGAAGACCCGAACGTGTCGTTCTATACACCTCCGACCATCATCGACCCTAGCGTCGAGGCAATCACCATCATCCCTGGCTACCAAGTGACACTCCAGGAAGCTGAGCTGATTTTCCAACTCTACACATCCGACTTCGTCCCACAGTTCCCCTTCGTACCGTTGCCCAACGACAACGCGTACGACTTCTACAGGAGCAAGCCGTTGCTCTTCAAAACAGTGTTATGGACGTGCATGCCTCCCAGCCGCGACCTGAGCGTGGGTTTTGAGAGGTGGTTTCGGCAACATGTTGCCTATCGAGTCGTCGTCCTGCTCGAGAAGAACCTAGAGATTCTGCAGGCGCTGCTCGTCTACTTTGCCTGGTAATCCCTCTACTCCGCATTGGCTCTTTTCCCTGCCCATAAGCCAGTTTCTCTGACACGTCTCCGTACCGACAGGAACGATATTCTCTACTACGCGAGATCCAGCGACACGAGCCTCATGCAGCTGGCTCGCGGTCTAGCAGAAGACTTGGGGCTTACCAAACGCCCCGGCATCCCGGTGTCCCCATCCGGCTCCATCTACGAAGATGCCGCCTTCCTCAGGGAGGACATCCAGGTAAGAAACCAGCATACGAATGCTGGACGGAGGGCTGTCCTAGGTCTATTTCACATGTCATCGGTGTAAGTGAGCCAGACAACCCCTCAACATCCCCTAAAGCTGACGAGCTCGAACGTGACAAAGGCTGTCCGGTCTTCTCGGCAGATCATCTTGGCTAGAGTTTACTCGTTACTTTGACGACTGCTGCGAGAAGCTGGCAAATGCTCAGGAATACTCGACAGATCTGCTGCTTGTGCAGCTGATTGGAGCTCGGAAAGTTGCGCTCAGGGTGGATGATACCTTCAGAGAGCAGAGCGAGCTTGCCAACGACCAGACTTTCGGGGGCCTCCACGCCCTGGCCATTGCTACCGTCGAAAAGGAGTTGGACTCGTTCATGGACTCCTTGCCCACTCCGCTGCGTTCAAACTGTACGTATTTCCTCTTTTTCTGCTTGGGAATCTGCTGACGTTTCTCTGAAAAGATCTCCTGCGTGAGCAATCTGCAGCGATCCGCATCCGACTCTTCGAGCCGGCCATCCACGTCCAAGGCAGCACACGACCGCAGATACCTCACCTCAGATCTCGCATGATGTGGCAGTGCCTGACAAGTATTCAAGAGCTCCTCAACGCCTTCCTCGCCCTGCCTGTGGAAACATACGCATCGCTCACCTTCATCTCGATCCTGCACCTCGCGCTGGCCATCATCAAGGCCTGCGGCCTCCTCTGCATGAAAGACCGCGACTGGGACCTCGAAACGGCGAGGGCGAGCCTCAGCCTGGCAGATACGCTTCAGATCCTGAGCGAGCGGTTCGATGCCGCCACTCGTATCGACGCCGCCGGTTGCGCGTCTCTTGTTAACCGCCAGCCCTTGCTCTCTTCATATGCCGAGAATTACAGAGCAATCAGGCGCTGGTTCCTGTCCAAGGTCGGTCCTGCGGGGGCTACCAGCACGATGCCAACGATGATGGATCCTGTGTTTGCGGAGGGTGTGGGAGTGCCTGAAGGCTTTGAGTTTTGGCAACAGTTGTCGGAGTTGACCTATGGAGCCCTACCAAATACTTGATTTCCGGGGTGTTCCTGTTGACGAGCCTTGCGGGGCTACCGCAGCTGTCATGCTGGGGGTAATCTGCGGTTGTGTAGCGTGGGCTGGACGGCCAGAGAGAGGTCTCGCGTGGGCATGAAATTAGACTTGCAATGGCTGGCAGTATGACGGACTATTTGGTCGTTACGCGGATATGGTTCAGCTCCATAGAACACCTGAATTGATAGCCAAAACTTTCGATTGATGCATGTTGTCTGGAGTTTGCCATCAGTTGAAGCTGACTCAATCTTCTCCTTTTCCAAAGCCGAATGAGAGCTGAACGTTGGCTGCGGAATGAACGGGGGCAAGCGATTCACATCATCCAAATAGTCTTGACACGCGCAGCAAGAAGAATTGCAAAAAAAAAAAAAAATAATAATAATAAAAAAAAATGGTTAGTTAGTCTTATCGCATTTGTCTGGCGAAGAACAAATTGTTGTTGGCAAAAAAGAACGTCGTTAGTTGAAACGGCAAAAGGTGAAGGACCGACCGCGGTTCGAACGCGGGGCCTAGAGATAACTGCGTGGGACTGCAATCTCTCGCTCTACCACTGAGCTATCGATCCGACTGTGGTGATTGGTTGTGGCGAGATAGATGGTAGGCTTGACTAAGTCGCTAGATCAAAAGTTGTGGAGCCGACTGGACACATTCATGCCTCTGTGCCCCCTAGAATCCTACGCAACGATCGAATAGTTGAAGACCATTGTTGTTGCTTTCCAAGGAGGAAACTTTCTATACCACGAAGTTGATTTCTGCTCCGACCTTGAGGTGCATTGCATTCCTTGAATCCAGCTCCCCTGAGCATAGACCACAAGGGTCTTGTCAACGAACACGCTTCTCAGTGTTCACAGCGACAATATTTTATTGCCAATTCCTCTGCAAGCTTTTACTAGATGAAACAAATAGCTGGATACAACGCATGTGATAGATGAGTTCACGATATAAGCTATATTACTTTGGATCAACAGTACGCCTCAGCCCAAGACCTGGGAAGGCCTGAAGACCGAAGAGGTCCAGGACGGTTGAACACAACTGGATTTTGTCAGTGATGAAGCCTGGCCGCTGCGTCAACATCTTGTTTGGTTTTTGGAGGTTGCAGATTCGCATGGCCTTTTTGCAGGAGCCTCTACGTGAGCACCGAACACCCGATCGATCCAGAGGCAGTTGGAAGCAATAATCGAGCAGTCATCTCGAAATCAGGAACGCCTCCCTGTCGCGTGACCTCACTCCCACCCCCACAGGCCAAACCATATGAGCAAACGTCCAAAGTGGCGATAGATGATCCATATCTGACCATCCGAACAGACTTGCAACTTGGGATGAACGGAACATCACAGCAGATCACCGGCACTCCAAACAGGGACTGTACCTCATTACCAAGGCCCATTGATCGCAGGCCCTGGGAGCCAGCCAACTTACCCAAGCTCAAGAAACGATATCTCCTCGACGGAACCAGGCATGCCAATGCGCCAACCTCCTCGACTTCGAGAGCCATGCCATAACCCTGGCAGATGGCCGCACAAGAGCCATGCCCGGTCGAAGCCAGCCGCCCTGATCCAGAGAATGTCACTCACTCCTATCGTAAATGAGTCACCTGAACTTTCCCTCGAGTACTCTGCAGTCAAGCTACACGCACCAGCCTTTTCTGCCTTTGAAAAGCACTGGCCTGCGGCGTTAGGCAGAGCTGCAGAGGCGAGGAGCAGACGGTGTGAGCTGGCCAAGTGGGTCACGATGCAGGTCTGGAATGGCGAGAGCTGGGGGGTTGGCTTTTTTTTTTCTAGAGTGTCGGTGAAGGGGGACCCGCGACCTATTGGCGCGTTGGTGCTGCAGGCATCAGAGGTGAGAGGGAGAGCATGCCCAAACGTTTGCCTTGGTCGAAGTGCAGTGGTTGACCGGTCCGCTTCTCCTCAATCTAGCGCCGTGCCAATTCAAGGCACAGCGAAGGTTTACGCGCTCGAAACATCGTCAACTTTGGTTTGTTACGCGCGTGTCTTAGGTAGGCAGGTCGGCTGCAGGACATGCAAAGCCGCATGACCTTGGGTTTCCCCCCAAGGCGCTTTAAGCAAATCCGAAGTGCTTGCTAGATAGACTACACCGCAAAGTGAACACTGTAAACCGATTGATTCACCGAATCGGCACGAATGGATGCGGGCGAAACCAGTTTGACGGACCAGTTGTCATGTAGCCTCAACAACGAATGAGCCCATCGCCTCGACGACCCGAGCAGAATTTTGCCGGGAAATGGCCGAACTGATAACATCCCGAGTTTCGAGTCTAGCGTAGAGGATGTGGATGCACGCAGGAGGCTCTTTGATGCCGCTCGACGGCGCCGCAGAATTTTTGTTCTAGGTGGACTCTAGAAGGACCACAGGTTGCGGATCTCTCTCCTTTCCCCTGGTAGGCAATGTGGACACCGTTGCCATCGGAATGCGGAAAAGGGCCGACAGTCTGCCGTGGTTGCCGAGGTGTCTTGCGTTCCGTACGTGTATCCAAGTCCGGCGACGGCTCGGGGCAGCTCTCGGGAAAGCCCCCCCGGAGGCGTCGGCCAACAAAAGCGGGCCTTCTCGGTGTACGAGTCAGACGTGGATGAGGCAACTTTGGTGACCTAGTCTGTTCCAACGACTCTGCTGACGGTGGAAATGATTGTCGCCTCTGCCACAATCATGTTGCCTTTGCCACCAGGTTTTGAATCATGGTGGCTGGCGCATCTGTACTGCGCATAGTAGAAATTGGAACCAAGGGACCACTTTGCTGACTTGTTCAACCGACGAGTCTTTCCATCCGTCTGAACCAGTAAGGCCACTGGCGAAAAAAACAGCAACGAAGCTGAATGGACAGTGGCTGGGCAGTGACGAAGGCGTCATATGAATCCCAGACAGCGCTAATGTGAGGAAGCTTCCTCGTCAACGGAGACTGCTTTTCTTCAACGAGTATCGCGGCATCAGGAATTGCGCCGAATAACAATTGCGGTAACTGCGAGGGTCGAGATAGCAAGTTGAAGAAATGGGCATGAAGACAGTGGATCCGTGTGTGGTTCGGAGAAGGCCCGATCGATTGAGCGAGAGAAAAATATCCCGAAAGACACATTCATTGGTTGGCCAGCAATCCTGGAACCTGACCGAGAAAGGAGAAGAACAAGCTCCGGAGGGCCACACCGCCCGAGTCGTCTCAGGAACAAGAAACGTAAGGTGCTGTGGCTGGCATCTGACAGCGAGAGATGGGCGCCCCATGTGGTTTTCCCATCGCCCGTCAGTCCCAATCCGGCGGCGTGGACGCCGGTGAGGGCTGTTGGCGTGGGACGATTCAGGCACGCAGGCGACGCTGGCCGACGTGGCGGTTGGGTGTTACCGGCCCTAGGAGCTGCAGCAGTCGCCCGTCGCAGTTGTAAGGCGGTATGCGGCTTATTCTTGGATCTTTTCCTGGGACGAAACGCCCTGTTGTCAATCTCGGGCTGCCACTGTTGAGGGGCTATCGTCGACGGAGCGTTCACATTGGACAAGGACGCAGATGGTGAAAGGGCCAGTCGCCGTTCCCGCTCCGTTCCCGCTCCCGTCCGTCTCGTCGCAAGTTTGGAGCAGGCTTACCGGCACCACATGGACTGCCAGATCTCCCGTGCGTGCTGGATCTTCACTGTCCATGGTGTATCTGCAATCATTCACATGCGGGCCTGTACGTCTGCGCCGGCGGGGCTTCTGCAAGCAGCAAAACAGAGAATGATGCTGTCTCTGGTGGTTGCGGCCTAGTGGGCTGGCTGCTGGTGATTGTGACGTACGCAGATTCTCGATTGCTTGCCTCTCGCCATTGCAATGGAAACTCAAGATTGTGAGGCCGCGCCCTGGCCAACAATCGCTCGTCTCAGTCGCCCTGAGTAGTTCTTTCTGGCTGGCCGAGACCCGTTATCTTCTGGTCCAGACACTGCGTCCGGACTCATCACGCCTGGGCTGGCCTATGGTGACAGTTGAGTTGAGGGCTGGGAGCCAGGGAGTCAAGGGCCTCAAGCTGCGCAGTGTATCGTACTGAAACCGAACCGACCAGCCAGTGCTGCGTGCGTGGCTCCAGTACCTTTGTTGCGGCTAGGCGGGACACAGGTCAGCCTGACGGAGCAGAAAGCCCGGCGTCGATGGTGTCTGTCAGTATTCCATGGAGACCCTAATAATTGTCTAGCTCATGGCTGAGTTGGGATTAGCCCTGAAGGTGCGAGCGAGCTGGAGGCAGAGCGAGGTATCCGAAGAGCTGGGCAAGTCGTTGGGCAAGAATGATGACTTCATCATGTACTGCGCGTTATCTGCGTTACCTCTGGACTGCACCTAGATGAGTCCGAAAAGAGTATCAAATTGTGAGGAATGAGCTCTCGGGATTGAGGGGCTGTCGACGTGTTGCACAGGGGCAGGACAGAGGGGGGAGGGCATAAGACGCAAGTCACTTTCCCTTTGCCCCTCCGACCCGACTCCGTAGGGAAGCTAAGACCACTGAAGCCGAACCAATAGGAAGTGATCCAATAGATGCAATCCAGAACGACGTGGTCGAAGCATCTTATCGCCCCGGACTAACGTCTCGGCGGGTGTCCAACACCACTGCAGCGAAAGCAGAAGGGGGGAAAGGAGCAGCAGGAACGGGCTCCGCGTCCCAGGCACGGTACTCTTCCAGACAGGGCAGCCCGCTGATTGGCTCGCTAGCAGCTACGTACCGACGGCATACGCAGTACTTGGCTCACCACAATAATGATGCGGGGAAGACAAGTACAGCCGATGTATGCTGTCCAAGAACGCAGGCCAGACTTCCGGAGCAGCAAGAACAGCTCCCGTCCGTTTCGAACCATGATCAATACGTACCGGGTATGCTTTGTCGCATCAACCGGCTCTCAGGCTCAACGAGAGGCACCGGCACAAGCACAAACCAGCGGTGGCCAGGGCCTCTTCACGTGTCAAACGAGAGCAAGCAAGCGTTTTCCACGCCCGTTTCCAATGCCTTCTTTGTACCTT